TTATTAAATTAAAAGTGAAAATTCACAACTTCGAAAAGCATTATTGTTAGATCTCAAGCCTGACAGCAGCCATGCCACGGCTCTATGAAAATCAGCGTAATCAAGCTATTGGGATGCGGCAAGCGGGTGTTAGGGTTATGGACGTTGCACAACATTTTGGCAGCTCTAGACAAACAAGTTATAGTTCGGTAATACTGGATCCGTCCATAATCGTCCATCATCTTTGGGGCCCCTCGTGTGGAAAACTGTTTGGCCCAATCACCCCTTTTTCCCAAAGGATTTTCCTGCTACAACTACTGCCCCTTTGGCCGTTTGTGGGCAGTCCCAAAAATATCCAAAAATCGCCTTATTTCAATCCCCCCGGTTTTCCCAAATCGTGCCCCCAGACCATATTTCGGTCAATACTGAGACCCCGCCTTAAAGGGTTGGGCCCTTTGCACAGCGTTACTTTCGCTGGACACGGAACCAGTGGGGTCGGGTTATTATTACGAATCTCGCTTTAGAATGTCATGCTGACGGCAAGGTGCGTATCTATCGTCGCAGAAATGAATGTTTCGCACAATGTTGCATCCCGGAAAGGGATAGGTTTGGTGTGGGAAGTGTGACGGTATGGTGAATATTGGGGACCGAAAGACAGAATTCATGGCATCCTGACAGCACAGGATTATGTGCATATTCTGGCAAAGTTTAACACTCTTTTACCTTTCAAGCAGGCACATGGTCCACGCAGACCGTTTAACAGCCAATTTTCCAGCTCGCAACCACGTTAACGTTTTGCCCTGGCCCGCTGTCTCCCAAAATATGAATCCCATTGGACATATATATGTGATGAACTTTTGCGAAGTGAGGACAAATCACCAGCTGGTAGACAACGTTAACGACCTCTCACGGGAACTGCAGGTGGAACCCTGCCTAAAGTATTAATCAGGCGTTACGTTCACTCCATGAGGAGGAGAATTCGAGCGTGTATTGCCAATTCCGGGGCCACACACGTTACAGAGATGTTCCGATAAACAATATTGGTTTTAATTCAAAGATTCAGAATCTCAAAAGTCTCGTTTACTATTGCCTTTCATTCTTGGATTTTTATCTGGACCCCTAGGTCAGAATTTGTTAGTGTATAAATTGTTTATTTTGGTTAAATCGACAAAAATGTGATTAATCGAAGCAAAATCTCAAAGAAATAAAATGTTATCCGGATCACCAATAAGAAATTGAAATATGCCCTTTTAAGTCCAGGAAAAGTTTGATTTAATTTGCCGAGTGTATTTGATCACACTGTCGTACAGGGTGTCCCATAATATCGGTTTTAAACGTTTATTATACATATTTGTTTAATCAGTATTATTATGAAAATTACATTAATGAAAGGTAATATAATAAAGTTTTATGTAATGCACATATGATTACTGAAAAAAAAAATTCTTACGCTGAAAATAGTTTGGTTTTAAAGCATGTGTTCCACATGACGTCTATTTTGTTAAATCAAAGGGCTGCAGCTCTGTGGTATTTTCTGATCTTTGCAATCTAAATCATACTGACTATCTAGATGTATGTACTTTCCTGTATAAGTTTATTTTTATATACTTTAATTCATCTTACGCAGCGACAGCGTTTTGATTTTCTTCTATAACAGTTTGAGATTGATACATATGGAATTTTGCATGAAAAAAAATAAAAATAGAATTGCCTCGACTAGGATTTTGAACCATAGGCCTCTCACACCCTCAACGAGACCGCTTACCTCTGCACCACGGCGAAGTAATACATATGTACCTTGAATAAAAACGAATACATTATGTAATTCTAAATTGAGAATTTCCATTTCGTGTTTGCAATCCTTATTAATTTCGAGGTATTTTGTTCACGATAAACCTGTTGTTTAACACTGATGAAAATAATTTAGCGAAAATCTTCTCGCCAAAACAGTCCGACATGTATATATATTCCACTACTCGACAGTCAGATTTATTTGTGTACTACGCTCTGGAGTATTCATTAATCGACATATCTAAAAATAGCATTTTCATTGATTAAAATGATATTCATGATAATCCGAAGCTTTACGGAAATAGCCGAACATTTTTCATTGGGTAAAAAAGATATTCATCCGCGAAATTTGTGATTGTAACCTCATATTTCTATTGACTAATCTAAACTTTTAATGCACTGTAATTTGTTAAATGCCTACATTAAAAATTATTCTTTCTTTTAAATTGCTGGTTTTTAAGCAGTTTTGAGTGAGAACTACCTTGCGTTGTTAGGACTGTAAGGAAATTTTGTGTTAGACCGTGGATATTAGCTATGTATTTACTGATCTTACGATCAGAAAATACAAAAACGACGTCACAGCGTGTTTTGAAATTGTCAATCACAGCTTTGCAAGTTTCTGCAGTGATGCAGCGTATTTTACAATTGTAAGTAACAGTTTTGCAAGTTTCCGCAGTGATTTCCGCAAATAACACCGGGATAAGACGCTTTGATCTGATATTATCCCCTATCGATCCCCGTTCCCCACTCCCTGCAGTCTCTGTAAAAGTCAATTTCCACATAAGGTAATTATAACTACAATTCGCTTAAATCACTATTAGGGTCAAGTAACATACGTATTTTAAGGAGTCTTGTATTAACTTTTTTAATTCTATTATGAAAACTTTTAAATAACCTTAATGCTTCCATATTTAATTCAAGATTTCATTTAATATTACTCATCCATTAATTTGTTTGTTTCCTTTAAATTATACGTTATCAATATTTTCTTTGTATGTAATGACTCATTTACAATGGAGTTATTGTTTTCATAAAACAGATGCTTGTTAGAAATACAAGTACATTTGAGCCATGTCATGACAAAACCAACATAATGGGTTTGCGACCAGCATGGATCCAGACCAGCCTGCGCATCCGCACAGTCTGATCAGGATCCATGCTGTTCGCTTTCATTTTCTCTACTTGTAGGGTTTGTAAGCGAACAGCATGGATCCTGATCAGACTGCGCGGAAATTTTGAAAAGTGTCAATTGTACAGTATGCTGTATACACGTGTTAAAACAGGTGTGAAAACAATAAATTTTTGTATGGGAATTCAAAGAGACAATAGGCTTTACAAAGAAATTATCAATTTTTTACAATCACTTCAATGGTACAACAGTATCCATTATAATATAGACACATTGTCTATCACCTTACAAAATAACTATTGTATATAACTAAAATATGGTAATATGCATCTGACATAAACTCTAGAATATACAAAGTAAAGAAGTTATCTACATTGTTTGAAACTTTTTAAAACATGATTAAACCAAAATATGTGAAACAAAATTTAACATACCTTTTATGTTGGTAATGAAATTTGAATGTGACTTAGTGTTTCCATTTATCTTCCTAGGGCACAATTTGCACTGTGCTGTCACATTTCCAGATGTCTCTTTAGGAAATTCAAAGACATCATAAATCCAATGATTTGACATTTTGGTTAGAATACCAGCCAAACAATGATGTCTATCTTTCAGTTAGAATTTGGTTAACTGTATGGATTAAAACTTATTTCTTCATTGTGAGTGATGTCTTAAAACATCTCACTTGATGTTTTACTACCTTTATGGACAATCATTGTTTATTATGACAATTTCTATTATTTACTTCAAATATGGATATCAATAGAGAACATACTTTCTATTAAAAAAAAAAATGTTGCTATTGTGTATCAAAATAAATCATTATTTATTATTATTATTTACACTACAATTAGTGATTAAAGATCATTATAAAGGAGTATAAGTTAAACTGTAACATGTGAAATAAAACATTTGAATTTCAATAGTTTCATGTAAAATCTGAAAGTAATCAACATTAATCAAATTGTAATCATAATTACAGACTGAATTTAAGCTGTAATTGATTAATTACAATTAATGTAATCAATTTTGAGCAAGGTAATCAATTACATGATGATTACAGTGTAATCATGTAATCAATTAAAAAATTGATGATTACAATTAGTGATTACCCCAGGTCTGTCCATGACCCTCAGGGACAGGGCCAATTTTAACCACAGGGCTTTTTTAACAAACTTGGTAGACATCCACTAGAAGATGTTTAGTGCTAACTATCTAAGCTCCAGCTCTTTGGCTGTTAAAGAAGAAGATTTCTTAAGTTTTTTCTGCATGGAAACAATTTTTACATGTGACCACCCAAAGAATATTCCTGTGAAGTTTGAATAAAATTGGCTCAGCAGTTTATGAGGAGATGTTGTTTAAAGAAAAAGTTACGGATGGACGGAAGACAGACGGACACTTAACAAATTTTGATCACAAAAGCTCACCTGATCACTTTGTGACACCAAAATTTACTCTCCATCAAGACAATGTTGACCTTTGAAGTACTTACTAATAGCACATAAAGAGATAGAAAAATTTGACCTTTAACCCTTGACCTACTGAAACCAAAAGTGATTATTGATAAGCCTTTGGCCAAGGTAGCTCATTTTTGTATCAGGATACTGAAATCCTTTAGAAAAATGAAATGAATGACTTGAAAAGGCATTGTGCACAAATTCAGTATGTTTAGAGCAAACCATTGTTGTTATTTGACTTTACCATTAATGATGTGTCCAATAACACTTTAGTGTATAAAGCTATAGATGAATTATTTTTTTTATAAAATTTATAATATAGATGTTTTCTTTATTTAACACACATGAAAATTATATGTCAAAAGAATAAAATATTCTCGAGCAAAATACTATGTTGCTATATAATAATGCTATATAATAAGAAGAGTTTTAATTATGAAGCAATGACTTTGTGCCTGCATCATTCATTCTTGAGGAAATATACAAACATATTCTTTTCATACAGATATTTAAGAAGATTCAAACGTTTATTGTTGTATTTTTTTAATGATGAGCAGCAGATACATGTTAATAGCTTTGTACACTTGACTTCTATACCTTCAACATCAAATACCATTAATTTTGATTACATGAAGAGATTGATATAGTGATCATAGATTGTATCATTTATTTTTTTTATCACATAATTTAATATTTCATATTAACAAGAATTAACAAATATTTATCAGACCTCTTTGAGTTGTTTACAATAAAACATGATAAATTCTGATTATAGTTTAGCACAAACAATAAAAATTATTTTTCAACTTTAAGTAAAATATATTGTATATATATTATTCAACCAAATATAATTCAGTAACTTAATCATTTAGCTAAGGATATCAATACCTGACCTCTGATACCAGTATAGAGTCTGTCCTGCCTGCAGTCTTACTATACTCTACACCGTTGAGAAATGTATGTAAAAACTAAATTCTGAAAATATCTCAACAATTTTACCCTTTACCACTCTTAATATCTTAAATGAACTTGTCCATCTTACAATCCTATCCATGCTCTCTGATCAATGTCTGACCTGTTCACTATTTCAGTCAGATCTTATTTTGTTTTTTCCTTAAAAATGGTGGAAGGTTTTGTCCCGATAGAAAGATATACAAGTCCATATAAGATGATTAAGCATGGTAATGGGTTAGTAAATTCTTGATAATCATACATTCCTGTAATTGTGAGATGCTGAAGTTAATAAAATATCATAATATTTATTCCTGTTAAGTTGAACACAAAAGAAAAACAAGAGACTTGCTTCCTATTGCATAAGACAAATGATCTTGATAAAATGATAGATTTTTTTTATCAAATTAATGGTTGTGTTTTTTTCTTTCAAGTATCATGATTTCTAAAAATGCCATAGTCATATCACTTATGCACGATTCATTTTTTTTTAAATAATAGAATGGTCCCCTAAACAATAGTAGGGCAGGAAACCAGATTGTTTTTGTCACATGATAATTATTCATGGCTGGTACTCGAATATAGCTGCTGCTCCCATACCAGTTCCCATACACATTGAAACAACACCTAGTGACCTGAAACAGATAAATGTTTCTATTTTGTTAACATCCATATAAAAGAAAATCTACTAGGCTTATTAGAAATTTGTTTTGTAATTTGTTAAGATACTTGGATTCTGAGGGGAACTAGAATATTGGTAATGAATGTTCCCCCAATGTGACCTTGACAAAGATGAAAACATTCCTTTTCTATAAATGAAAAGACAAGTAGGAAAATCTGTTTTTAACCAATGGTCACAATCAAGTCTACAGGCAATCAAAGGGGTGTCAAAAATAATAAGGATTGAAAAATTATTTTTTTCTCCTTCTAAAAAAATAGCACAATGTAAAGTTATGCAGAATACATGTAACACATAGAGTTGTTCCTTGTATAAACATAGAGTGGTTCCTTGTATAACTTAAGTCTTGTGTTTCTGATCATTATGTTTAAACTCTTTACTTAATAAATCTCATTTGCCTTTGCCAAGAGCCGTGTTCGTGTGCTAGCACCAATAACAACTATGCTAAATGTTTAGTGTCATGTTAGCCTGTACATTGTGTGCATTTTGACCACACATTCATACTGCTGCCTGTATAAATTTAGTATTTTGTACTAAAAACCTTAGTTTCATAAAAAGGATAGCTCCATTTTCAGTGTATTGTATCAATTGGCACTGTATAAAAAAAAATTGTCGCACAATTCAATGAAGGCCTTCAAATTTGTTAACTAAAACCTTCCCACATAACAGCTCAGATTCAAAGCAGGTCAAGTCCATTTTATCAACAACTCCATGTAGTGAAATTTTTTTGCTCACCTTTTTCCTCGTCTTTTTTGCTCATGTACTAGAGTAGCTATCATTCTGGCCCCTGTTGCCCCCAGAGGATGTCCAAAGGCAATGGCTCCTCCTTTAGGGTTGACTTTCTCGTGGGGAATGCCAAGTTTATCTACACAATATACAGCCTGGCTGGCAAAGGCTTCATTAATTTCATAAATGTCAACATCATCTATGGTAAGACCTATCAAATTAAGAAACATTTTTTTGTTATCTTTATATTATAAAATTCTGACTAACTTCCCTTTTTTATTTAATAAATCTAAACCAAATTTTACTTGACTAATATAGATTCACAAAAAAAAGAGCAAATCTGATTGTGGCATTAATAAAATTTGTAATGTTTTAACTTTTAAAAGTAGCAGGTTGCTAATTTTCTTTATTTTCATACACAACCAAATTAAAATTCACCATGTATAAAATAAGTAAATATCAATTACTAAGTTAAGTTTCTAACTACATACTTTTAGTACTATTGTAGGAAAGCAATTCTAGACAATCACAACTTAAAATATACATGTACCATGACTTTTGTAATGTTTACAATTTTTAAAAATTTTGAGTTTATTTATATACCTTAAGACATACAAATTATTCTCTTTATATTTAAGAAAATGTTCATATTAAAGTGACAAAAATTTTAATGCTAATTTTTTTCCACTGTCAAGTTGAACTGATTTGACTTTCTATGTGTTTCAAAAGACTGTTATAATAGTAATTGACCAACAATTGATAATGGAAAATGTTCATGATAAAATATTAATCTGCCTTAAATAGAAAGACTGCCTGACTCTTTGTATAAATTGAACGTAACCTGTAAATTCTGATTTATCACAGAAACTGCCTCGGGCCACATGAGTTATTTACCATTCATGCAAAGTAGGTAATAAAATTGAAAGGAATTATGCAAAATGTAAACTTATTTTGACTTTCACCTGGTCACTCACTATGTATCCACTATGTATCCATTAATATTTGATTGCAAAACCTCTTAATTACAGAAAAACCTTCTCTTATTATCACTATTTAACCCTTTCCCCCATGAGCATATTGTGGAAAATGGCCGTTTTCACTGAAAAGCCTCCTGTTACAAGTTCAAACTGCTATGAAACTATGAAAAATGCTTCAATACTAATCAAACTTGGCACAAATGTTGACTGGACCATTGCCTTTGTAACGACATGCTCAGTCTTAAATTTCCTGTTACCATGGCAACGAGGGGGCATCTCAAAATTGCCCAAAATCACTATTTTGCCTCGATTTTTTCCATCAAAATTTATTTCAAAGTGCTGCAACTTCTCAAGGGATTGAGATAGAGTCAAAGGCTTTTCAGCGTTGGTTACACGTTACATTATGATCGACCTGGGGTCATTTTTAGCCTCTCACAAGTCCAAAATTTTCTTGGCGATGAGGGGGACTCCGCCCCTCTTCAAACCCCCCTAACAGAAGGGGGCACATCCCCCTTCTGGCAACCCCCTGATGTATCTTTTGGATGGGGGGCGGCGCCGAAAAAGTGCTCAATTTTTTTAGCAACATTTCTCAAATGAAAACATCTGTTTGGGGCCCAAATAGGACATTTTTTCACTCTTTGAGGCCTAAAAAAGGGGGGGGGTCGAAAGTGCGTTGTTCGCGTATATATGGGGTAAAGGGTTAACAAAAAATAATGAAAAACTTTGAAATCACCTAAAAACTAGTTTTTCCATGTTAACATGTGGTCTTTCACCTAATTTTGGTGAAAAATTGTTGTTTTGTAACATTTATAATATTTTTAGTTAACCCTTTCCCCCATGAGCATATTGTAGAAAATGGCCGTTTTCACTGAAAAGCCTCCTGTTACAAGTTCAAACTGCTATGAAACTATGAAAAATGCTTCAATACTAATCAAACTTGGCACAAATGTTGACTGGACCATTGCCTTTGTAACGACATGCTCAGTCTTAAATTTCCTGTTACCATGGCAACGAGGGGGCATCTCAAAATTGCCCAAAATCACTATTTTGCCTCGATTTTTTCCATCAAAATTTATTTCAAAGTGCTGCAACTTCTCAAGGGATTGAGATAGAGTCAAAGGCTTTTCAGCGTTGGTTACACGTTACATTATGATCGACCTGGGGTCATTTTTAGCCTCTCACAAGTCCAAAATTTTCTTGGCGATGAGGGGGACTCCGCCCCCCTTCAAACCCCCCTAACAGAATGGGACACATCCCCCTTCTGGCAACCCCCTGATGTATCTTTTGGATGGGGGGCGGCGCCGAAAAAGTGCTCAATTTTTTTAGCAACATTTCTCAAATGAAAACATCTGTTTGGGGCCCAAATAGGACATTTTTTCACTCTTTGAGGCCTAAAAAAGGGAGGGGTGTCGAAAGTGCGTTGTTTCGCGTATATATGGGGTAAAGGGTTAACAAAAAATAATGAAAAACTTTGAAATCACCTAAAAACTAGTTTTTCCATGTTAACATGTGGTCTTTCACCTAATTTTGGTGAAAAATTGTTGTTTTGTAACATTTATAATTTTTTTAGTTAACCCTTTCCCCCATGAGCATATTGTGGAAAATGGCCGTTTTCACTGAAAAGCCTCCTGTTACAAGTTCAAACCGCTATGAAACTATGAAAAATGCTTCAATACTAATCAAACTTGGCACAAATGTTGACTGGACCATTGCCTTTGTAACGACATGCTCAGTCTTAAATTTCCTGTTACCATGGCAACGAGGGGGCATCTCAAAATTGCCCAAAATCACTATTTTGCCTCGATTTTTTCCATCAAAATTTATTTCAAAGTGCTGCAACTTCTCAAGGGATTGAGATAGAGTCAAAGGCTTTTCAGCGTTGGTTACACGTTACATTATGATCGACCTGGGGTCATTTTTAGCCTCTCACAAGTCCAAAATTTTCTTGGCGATGAGGGGGACTCCGCCCCTCTTCAAACCCCCCTAACAGAAGGGGGCACATCCCCCTTCTGGCAACCCCCTGATGTATCTTTTGGATGGGGGCGGCGCCGAAAAAGTGCTCAATTTTTTTAGCAACATTTCTCAAATGAAAACATCTGTTTGGGGCCCAAATAGGACATTTTTTCACTCTTTGAGGCCTAAAAAAGGGGGGGGGGGGTCGAAAGTGCGTTGTTTCGCGTATATATGGGGTAAAGGGTTAACAAAAAATAATGAAAAACTTTGAAATCACCTAAAAACTAGTTTTTCCATGTTAACATGTGGTCTTTCACCTAATTTTGGTGAAAAATTGTTGTTTTGTAACATTTATAATTTTTTTAGTTAACCCTTTCCCCCATGAGCATATTGTAGAAAATGGCCGTTTTCACTGAAAAGCCTCCTGTTACAAGTTCAAACTGCTATGAAACTATGAAAAATGCTTCAATACTAATCAAACTTGGCACAAATGTTGACTGGACCATTGCCTTTGTAACGACATGCTCAGTCTTAAATTTCCTGTTACCATGGCAACGAGGGGGCATCTCAAAATTGCCCAAAATCACTATTTTGCCTCGATTTTTTCCATCAAAATTTATTTCAAAGTGCTGCAACTTCTCAAGGGATTGAGATAGAGTCAAAGGCTTTTCAGCGTTGGTTACACGTTACATTATGATCGACCTGGGGTCATTTTTAGCCTCTCACAAGTCCAAAATTTTCTTGGCGATGAGGGGGACTCCGCCCCTCTTCAAAAGGTTTAACTATAACTTTCTTACTAACCAGCCATTTTAAGAGCTTCTGGGATGGCAGCAGCAGGTCCAATACCCATCACATCTGGTGGTACACCAGTAACAGCAAATGCTCGTAATGTTCCAAGAATAGGGAGTCCACGTTTCTCGGCCTCGGCACGATTAGCAACGAGAACAGCTGCAGCACCATCACTTGTCTGACTTGAATTTCCTGCCAAAATTTCTTTATTCATTACTATCTGAGTTATTCATAGGTAAAATATACTGATATTATAACAACATATATTAATCTGAATGATTTGCAGCTTTAATTCTGGACAAAGACCTAAGATGCTCCTCTGTGCATTATTTTTACCATACAAGTTTGCACCTGAGAAGAACCATCAACCTTCAAATTGCTGGCTGAATAGCTTCCTCTCATGACATAATCCAAATATGATGATCGGGTTTGACCCCACAATGACAATTTAGAGCCAATTAAGTGATTTGAAATTGACTACCTTTACCATTAGGTTATGGTGGCCCCTGTATTAAGTATCTTGACCTGGCTGCTCAAGCTTGATAAAATGCAGTGGTCCAATGATAAAACTGTGTTATAACAAAATCAGGGATTACAATGAGACATCCCATTATTCCACCTAAAAATGTTAACTATATGGAACATAAGACTTTAAAACCTGAGCTCCCATGTTAATACTATTCTCTAAGATCATTACAACTACCATTGTTTCATCTGGAAAAGAGTAACTTTTAATATATTCTTCAAATATAAAGTTATCAATAGTCTTCTAGAGTAAGTCGCAGTTATGGGTTTAAAGATAGCAATAATAATAAACTATTATCATATACAAGAAACACCTTGAAAGCCTATCAAATAAAGGAAAATCAATGCATGTGTACCTGCAGTAGTTGATCCCCCTTGTTTAAATGCTGGCTTCAATTTCTTCAGGGCCTCCATTGTTGTATTTGGTCTTATTCCTTCATCTTGGGTCACCTTACAGAATCAGTATTAACCAATTTAATAATGATGTTACAATTACATCAATTATAATAATTTGTTTATGGAATGATATTTGCTACAGGGGTTCTTATGAAAGCAATTTTCTAACGGTAATCCAAGTAAACTAAAATCTGAAAAGTTTTAATTAAGTATTCAGCTTCACCATCTTTTTTTCCTAATTTCTTTTATTGAATTTATAACTAAACTCATTTTTTCATAAAAACTATTTCTTAATGCATTGATATACCATTAGTTATAAAGATCATGTTGGGTTATACGGCTTACTATAAACTTAGTGAGCATATATTATATAACCTGTATAATTACTTCAATATGAGGAAAAATGAAGTATACTTCATAAATCTACAGTAGCAGTGTATACAGATTATATAAACATCACAACTATCCAATGAAAAACGATATTACAAATCATCACATTAGTGCAGTAATGGATTAACTCCTCAGAAATTATGTAAGGTATTTAAACCCGTTACTGCACTAAGGAGACAAAATGTGCTATAATTATGTGAGCTATAAATGTAGACATACATGTACTTGTATATTAAACATGGAATGATTGTCAAACAGTTAATTGTATGTAATACAATATTTTATGTTAGTTCTACGTGTCTAGCACACACATCATGAAATATAAATAAGTTATGTAACATCTCTCATACAGCCTGGCATATGCTTCAGACATTTTCATTTATAAAACTTGATTGGTTGAAATCCATGATCCAAAAAGGTCAGAACTGTATATAACTGTACTGTGAATTAGTCTTTGGTGCATTCTATAGCTGCTTCATGCTAACATACCAAATTGTGTTTAAAACACTAGATCTAGTCTGAAATGATTGCATAGGTATGTTCATTTTTTACTTTACATTTTGACTTAAAATATAAGAATCTGAATGTACAAACAGACAATATAGGAGAGGAATCTACATGATATGATGAGTCATCTGAACATAATAATGCACTTACTGTTATAGTTTTTTCTTCGCCATTTTTGTCAGTCACATTAACAGTTACAGGAATTATTTCTGCTTTAAAATGACCTTCTTTTGTTGCCCTGGCAGCTCTGAAATTTACAAAATGATTTATAGTGTTAAACATTTCTTTAAAGCCTCTCGCCTCCAGATGAGTTTAAAAATTCAGAATAAATAAAATCAATAATTATCCCGCAAAAACCAAGAGATTTGCTTTTGAGGAGTCAGTCTGCACAACTATACACCAAAAAGATTCATAGTTTCCTCATAACAGAAGGCATGCATTTGGTAAGTGGCGAACATCTTATCATTCAAGCAAAATTAAGGAAAATTTGGAATAAACAAGAGAGCCAACATTGTCCTTTTCTTGCTTACCTGACTGAAGTACATATATACACTGGTTGCTATGGAAGTTGCTATAGCAAGTAAGTAATTACTAAGGAAGGTCAATGATAGCTATGGAAGTCATTCATTGCTTTGGAAAGTCATTGAATGGAATGTCCATGATTGGTAAGAAAGACAGTGGTTGCTATGGGAAGTCATGGTTGCTATGGAAAGTCAAAGGTTGTTATGAAAGTCACTGGTTGCTGTGGAAAGTTAATATTGGCTATTGAAAGTCAATAGTGGCTTTGGAAAGTCAATGGTTGCTAAGGATGTCACTGGTTGACATAGAAAGTTAATGGTTGCTACAGAAGTCACTGGTTCCTATGGAAAGTCAATGGGGAGTCACTGATTGCTTTTGAAGGTCAATGGTTTCTACAGAAATAAGTGGTTAATATGGAAAGTCAATGGTTGCTTTGGAATTCACTGGTTGCTATGGAAAGTCAATGGGAGCCAATTAAGTTCTATAATTTTATCAAACTATGTAGAAGTCAACAATAAAATGTTTTAAGCCAAATATCCAGATACTGCTCTTGTCAGTTATTACTATACTACACATTAACTTAATGACCTCACCCTTAGTGCTTTGTGCACAGATGAGTTAAATATGTTTCCAGCTGCATATTGTTATATTTTTTCTTGAAATTTGAAAATTTTCAGAACTGATTTACATTTGAAAGGTGTGTACATGCATGTACAATTTTCTGATGGTACACAAAGCAGTTAGAAAATAACTACAAATCTACAATTTTATTTTTCACATGTAAAAGGACATGTGTAAAAAATTATCTATAACCAAGTGCAATCTTTTTTATTTCAAGTGTTAATGAAAGAAATGTAGTTATTTCAAAGACTAAACTTGCAACAGTCATGAAAACAAGGTGATTTGATGTCAAAACAAGAGCTGTCCGTAAGACAGCGCGCTCGACTTTTTTATTGCTTGCCAATAAAAAAAGTTTTTGCAGTAAAAGGCAATACAAGAATCTCTGTATTTTTAAAGTGAACTAGTTGTTTGATACCCTTGAATATTACAGCAATGTTTATATGACATAATTTATGGTAAAGTGAACAAGTGGATAGGAATGAATTTTTTTAGATTTTTTAAGTTTTTTAGTGCTTGCCTATAATACAAAACATTGACAGTTAAGGGCCATAATTCAAATAAAATCTTTGACAGAATTACCTTCTCCTGGACATGTTTGGGAATCATGATTGTAAACAAGTATTCCAACTTTCAAATTAATATCTCAAACAGTTCAGTCAAAAAGTGGACTGGTACTAAAAACTTAACCAAGATTCTAAGTCGATAAAAGGCCTTAATTTTTAAAACAAATCCTTGACAGAGTTACCTTCTCTTGCGTACAGATGGGGGTAATGATGTGAAATAGCATTAAAAGTTTCAAAGCAATATCTCAAAGGGTTAAGGCAATAAGTGGATTTTACCCATATTCAATGTATTTTCTAAGTCAAAAAGGGGCATAATTCTGTCAAAAACCTTGACAGAGTTATGTCCTCTTGTCTGTTGATGAAGGTCGTGATGGTAAACAAGTATGGTCAGTTTCAAAGCAATACCTCCAATGGTTTTGAAATAAAGTGAGGTGGTACAAAAAACTTAACCAAGCTCAATACACTTTCTAAGTCAAAAAAGGGCCATAATTCTGTCAAAAACCTTGACAGAGTTATGTACTCTTGTCTGTAGATGGAGGTTATGATGGTGAACAAGTATGGTAAGTTTCAAAGCCATACTTGTAATACTTCTGAAATAAAGTGGGGTGGTACGAAAAACTTAACCAAGGTGTGACGCCAACGCCGACGCCGACGCCGGGGCGAGTAGGATAGCTCCCCTTTTCATAGAAAAGTCGAGCTAAAAATAACTATTTAGCCAAATAAGACATTTATAAATATTGAGGATGATGTAGAATTTCCAAACTTACTTTTGATGTGAGCTCATAGAGAATTTGTCCTGTTGTTCACGGGTTATACCATATCTCTCAGCAACATTCTCAGATGTTATTCTGCAAAACAAAAATAGATTTCCAGTTGCGATGGCAATGTATACCAAATATCAGTACTCAAGAACTCTGTTAATCCAGAAGGCATTACATAGCATAAATAATATATCATAATACCGTATTTACCTAAATATAAGACAGGGGTCCTTCTTAGCCTTAAAACTTTGGCATTTTTGCATTGATCTGCTTATAAAATGGATGAAATTTTTTAACTGATACAAAAATTCATCATTTGTATCATTGGCTACTCTCCCTAGAGAAAACATTCATAAAGGAATAAAAATTTCCTTAATACCTTTCATAATTTATTCAAAGCCATTGGTGGGACCAAGTATTATGTATATTTTAAGCCACCGGCACCTTAACATCTAATTCTTAGTCTTAATTTCTATAAGGATACTTATATTAAAGACATTCTGTACCCCATTGGAATAAGACAATTCTTTGCATCTTCATAATCCATAACCTTAGAATTGAGTTCTTCAAATCCTTTACCAATTTGATCTTTGGTCATCATTTCTACCCTGTAAAAAAATAATTAAAACAAAGAAACATTTTAGGTAACAATTAACAATCTCTATAGGTATGAATTGTATATAACATGTATATGTATATTAAGACAAGAATCATTGATAAAACTAGTCTAAAATAGAAACAATGTGATACCGTTCAATGCATATCTTGTATTTACAATCCTTAGTGTATGGTATAAAACATGTGATGCACCCAATAGCATTGTTTTATTATGGAAGTTCATAATGCATCAAGTTTTTTTTTGCTATTGGAGTTTGTTGTACAAATTGTACAAGGCAAAAATGAAGTTTCTGCTATAGAATCAATTTGTGCAAAGCCGAAGGCTTACTGAACACAACATATCATACCCAATGGGAATTTTTTGCTATTAAAGTTTGTTGTACAAATTGACAACATTATTACTATACTGTCAAACTATTTAAGCCCCATGGGAATTTTTGTTTTTAAAATATTTTGGCATTGTGTATTTGGAAAACTTTCTTTTCCCAGAGCATAATCATCTCCTTGCAATAGTGTTATTCTCTACACAATATATTCTATAAAGCATGCAATTCCACACGAGAGACTTAACATCATTGTACAGAGCACAATATAATGCCAGATGTATATGGTACAACACATAAAGTAGCAATGACAATACTGTTTAATATTAATGATCAAATTGTGATAAGCTGATTTTTTTAAAGAAAAAAACATTTGCCATGCTTATCATGCTCATGGGAATCATTTTAGTAAGAACATGTACTGCAAGTAATAATTTACCCTCCTGCTAATCCTATAGGGTAAGATTTATTTTTGATTCCCCCAGCAATATTCATAAAAGCCTGTAGTCCTGATCCACATTGTCTGTTCACAGAAGATGCTGGTACTGTGTATGGTATACCACTGCAAGGTAATGATGAGAAATAAGATACATAACATTAGATTCTTTATATTCTTTCTTAATTTTATTGTTCAATTATCATATTAATTATCACTAAAAGAAAGTTTAAAAAATTATCATTTACAATGTCAGTTAAAGCCCTGTTTCTTATAATTCAAATATGAAACATTCTATGTGCTGTTTTTGTTGTTGTTTTCTTTTTCTTTTTTTCAAATACAAAGAATGGTCAAACAAGTTTAATTTTTCATCTTTTAAATTTAGTATAATAAATACTTTTGACACTAAAATGTAAGAATTGAAAGTTAAAACAATGCCATTTTTGTAAAAGTTGAATATTGAAATTGGCTTGCCAATTTTAAGAACAAAAGAAACATTAAGTATAGCTTAGTGTTCAACAAGCATTTACAAGAACATTGCAGCTTTTAAAGCATGCCTTTTTTAAAAATGTTTTCTGTACTATTGGTGCAGATAGAGCAAATCCATTTCACTTATTCAGAATGTTAAAATTAAAAGTTATGATATCTTATGCAGAATGTTAAGGGTTAAAAGTTATGATAACTTATTAAGAATGTTAAGGGTTAAAAGCTATGATGACTTATTTAGAATGTTAAGGGTTAAAAGCTATGATAACTTATTCAGAATGTTAAGGGTTAAAAGCTATGATAACTTATTTAGAATGTTAAGGGTTAAAAGTAATGATAACTTATTAAGAATGTTAAGGGTTGAAAGCTATGATGACTTATTTAGAATGTTAAGGGTTAAAAGTAATGATAACTTATTAAGAATGTTAAGGGTTGAAAGCTATGATGACTTATTTAGAATGTTAAGGGTTAAAAGTAATGATAACTTATTCAGAATGTTAAATGTTAAAAGTTATGATAACTTATTCAGAATGTTAAAAGTTATGATGACTTATTTAGAATGTTAAGGGTTAAAAGTTATGATGACTTATTAATGTTAAGGGTTAAAAGTTATGATAACTTATTCAGAATGTTAAGGGTTAAAAGTTATGATGACTTATTCACAATGTTAAAGGTTAAAAGTTATGATGACTTATTCAGAATGTTAAAGTTAATGATGACTTATTCATAATGTTAAGGATTAAAAGTTATGATGTATTCCACAGAAAAATATTTTTTTAAAAAGCAAAAATGACAAATTTTGTATGGCAAACCTATAAAACTGAGCAAATCTGGTTCCTACAGAGGCTTTATTATCATTTACATTCCCGACACATATATCACCAATCTCATCTGGCTTGATGTTAACACTTTTAAGGATTCCATTGAAAGCTGCAGACAGCAGATCATCTCCATGTGTATCCTATAATTACAATAGTAAATACATTCATACTTGAAACAATGTCAGTCACAGAATTTTTATTCATATAATGTCAGTAACTTAATTCAACTCACCTGGTTGGAGGCAGCTGGTCAACATTTGATTGTTAAATACAAAAGTTATAACAAAAAAGATTTCTTCATCTGGCCTTAAGTATGGGCTACTATTAAACATTTATATCAGAGCCACAGTATTATGAAATAATAATTCTAATTTTACATAATAAAAATTTTTGTTTGACATTTTATCAAAACTGACTTACTGGTATGTCAATAAAGTTTTTTTATTTCCATTCCAGATTATGCAACATTAAAAACCAACAAATGTAATCAATTAATATATATTAATTAGATACTGGATTGAATCTAGTAGGCTCATTCTGTTTTTGAAGTATATTAGTTTACTGTGTAAAATATGTCTTGTACAAGAGTGAATTTCAACAATTAGCAATGATTCACCACAGTGAAATAATGATTTGCAACAGTGAAATAACTATTTGCCACAGTATGATTATAACAATAATGTCCTTAGTTTCACCTGTCCTAGGTCAAGTTAAATCAACAAACTTTTTAAGAATAATTTGACAATGACAATAATATTTTTTTTGCTTCTTAATATTCGTAATATGAAGTTAAGGCCCCAAGCTCAGATTTTCAATTCATCTGAGTAACATAATTATAGGAGTACATTGACAAGAAAGTAACTGTATGTTGATATAAATATTGAATTAAACATATACATATATGTCAATTAATATTTTTATTGATATTATATTTGTCAAATATAAAAAAAATGGGTATTGCAAAAAAAAATATGTGCTCATTACGAAAATTTATTTACAATAATTGATTAAAGAATGCATATCTGAAACATTTGTCAAACCTTTAATTTAAACAAGCCAATCATCTTAGGATTGTTGTAGAAATATTTAATTGATGCAAAAGTATTCCTTTTATTCTCTGAAAATGTGGAACACATTCATATAAAATAAATAACAAAATCATAAGCAAGCCAGCTCATCCTTGTTCATTCTGTTTAAGACGTATCTTAGTCTACAGGAATTCACATGCTGTAATATATGACAAGTGTCAAAGATGGCACCTTATTAAATGAGGAAACACAGGCACAATTTGTTTTAAAATAAAATATTACTTACCATGATAAAAAGTAATTGTAAAAATGATTGAAGAATTATCCTTTTTTAATATATTAATTGTTTGTTTCTGAGCTTCATATCCATAAACTACATAATACAAAAAAGATATTATTAATAAAAAATATGCTTTATGTTTGGAGTTAACTGCTTTAATCAGTTTTGAGGATCAGTGAGAGCAAATAACGACTGTCACAGGCCGGGCACTACAAACTTAACAGACGAGCCAGGAAAGGGAACTTGCCTTTCTATGTACTTGTATCCCTTTTACATAAGGACGCATCTGAGGTTAAAATTCAGACCAAGTTGGTGAAAGAGAAAAAACTCAAACAAAGCAGACTAAGAAAATTCAAGATCAACTGTGGGCCTTTTGGAAACAGTATATAGACTAAGAAAAATTACAATCAGCGCCTTACTTGATGCTTGTGCATCACTGTATGGTCCTGTATAAAAAAAATGTTGTATATGTACATGTATGTATGAACACTTGTGTACAAGAGTTCCCTCACAATTGGATACTACTTGTTTTTTTGTCACTTTGTCCTTGTTAACTTATTTACAATGTAATGTAAACAGTAATTTTGGTAATAAAATATAATATGTTTATTTCATGTGTTTTTTATTCAATAAGAGCTTTTTTAAGTGTAATTTTCAATTTTATATAATTAATAAAGGTTAGCAAACTGACAATGTGTTACGTAATTTTGGTAATAAATAAAAGCTGTTTTTCAGTATATTTATATAATTAATGAATGAAATACAATATGTATATTTTCCTATAAAATGAAAAAAAGGATTTCATGAACAGTTTGAAAATATGTGCATTTGAACACATGGCTACAAATCGTTATTTAACTGTGGCGGATTGTTAAGTGACGAATAGTTACTGTTGTGAATAGTTACATCATCAATTTCAAGTTCGATCAATTTGTTACATTTGAACACATGGCTTATCGTTATTTAACTGTGGCGGATTGTTAAGTGACAAATAGAACTTTACTGTTGCGAATAGTTATACTACCAATTTCAAGTTCGAACAATTTGTTGCGGACATTAAAAATACTTTTTCCGCGACTAAATAACAAACAGTGCACGGCAAAAATAAACAATTAATATAATGAAAAAATAACCGGTATCAATTATACAGTTATATATCAGATATATATAACTATCGATACATGTATCAATAAATCAGCTATAGTTTACCTTAAAGAAGCCTCTTCTTGATTTACCGATCGGTGTTCTTACAGCAGCTACTACAACAATATCATCAGGCTTATTTGGAAATCTAGGCGGTTCTCTCGTGCTGCCTGTGGCTTCAGGGGTTACTCCGTTTCGATCAGAAACTGAAAGATGCTTGGCAAGTACACTTATTCTCTCCATGCCCGAGGATGACAGTTCAATAAATGACCGCCGTTCAATTCAACCTAACTGAAAGTGCAAAGTTTTACACGCAAATCACAATCTATGTATTTACTTTATCTTTTTAGGACGCCAGATGTCAAAAATTAGGCTGAAAATAATTAGGACGTTCATTACCGGATGTTTATAATTTTTAGTCAGGTTCTCTTTTCATTTATCATTGTAATATACAATATCGAAGCATGCAGGAGACCAGTGTATTCAATTTTCACGCGGAATACCTTTGATAATATTTGCTAAATAACAGTGTACGGTACATCAGAAATATTCATTATTTAATAAGAATACATATTTTCCCTTTGATATTTTTACTCAGAAATGAAATACTTGTATACTTAAATAGCCATTGATCTTATTTAATATGAAATTAGGTGCTACCTATGGCGCGGAAAGCTCTTATGAATTATGATTTGAGCATGACATGTTTAGTGTAGATGTAAACCAGATATTTCTTTCAGGTATTTTGTACCGTAAACAAAACAAATAAATTGGTGATGTTCAACCTATCGTCGGAGCGCTCGGAATATTCCGAAAATCTCCGAATGTAAAGGGGGTCCACTGCGCATGCGTCGGCGTTTGGAAAATCCCGTCCACCATTTTTTGTTAATCTCTAATCACAGTTGTTGTTTTAATGGTATATTTAATGTGCTAATTTATCAAAAAAGGATATGTTAAAGTAACTTTCTATATTTATAATCGTTACTATAGTTCTTATCAATGAAATGCATGTTTACTTTCTGATTTTGCACATTATTCTCTCACCGGAAGTGTTATTTAGCAGACGCTAGCAATAGTCTAAATTATGTAGACGCTCATTAAAAGCGCTTTGATATCTATATTTAGCTCAAAAGGATTTCAAAATGGCGGCGCCCAGTTAACTAAGGATTTTTTCACACCTCATTAGGTATAGGATATATATTTTTTTGAAATTTTCATTTACTTTTAATTTGATTTCATTTGAATTGATACACGTCATACATGTTATCTAAGAGCGCTACAGCCCTCGCGGGGCCTTCGGCCCCGCTCGGACTTTCCGCGTAATATTTTTATATTTCAGACTTTTATATTTTGGCAGTAATCAATTTTGCCAGATCAAAGAGCTACGTGAGCAAATATACACCCTGTGTTACCCATCCCGTTACATTTTTTGTGCGTTTTGTCCGCAAAATTATACAGTTGAATGCAGATGAGAATAACTTACTGTATCAAGTGTTTATGAGGCTCCTGAAAGAAATAAAAGTAAAAGATATACTCACTTGTAAAAGAAAATGTGCATTTGCATGGTTACTTTGAACACAGGAACTTGAAATTCTATCAATATTAATGATAATATCCAAAATATACCCCCTATAGATACGTACAGTATAATATAATCTTTATTTATACTGTATTGGGGGTATATTTTGGATATTATCATTAATATTGATAGAATTTCAAGTTCCTGTGCTTTGAAATTCTGTATAAATTTGTAATTACATTGGTACATGTATAAAAATTTGCAGAAATGCATTGTTAATGGTTAATTTTGCATGGAAATATGGTAATTGTCAGAATTGTGGTTTCACTCGGGACATTCCCAGCAGCTGGTCTGCATGTTCATTTGCAAGTTTCAGTTTTCTTTTTTGACGTCCCATTTGGTAAAGCATATGCATATGTCACGGAGTCCGTCGGAAAACTATAGTATATACTGCAAAAACACACGTAAAAATGGTAATTTTCGTCTTTAAAAGTGAGTTTTATGTGCTAAATTAAACTTTCATGATTAAGCTTGCCTTACATATTGTATTATGTGTCAAAAACTAATTCATAGTCCATTTTTCATCGCCTCTTGCTTAAAATCTGGTAGTTTTGAGTAAAATTTCCAAATTAATTGCCAATTCTCAAATATTGACCTGTTTATTTCGAGTCTTAATCCTTGCAATACATTATTATCTAATTATCATGCAAAATTGCAAACATAAAGCCCCGACTAACACATTTTTACCCGATTTTTCAAATGTCCCGGAGTTCTTTTGATAACTCAAAATATGTCCTGGAGTTCTTATGATAACTTTTGTAATGCCAATGTGTTTCTTGTGCTAAATTACGGCACGTTTTATCGTTTTTTTCCTTATTCATTCAGGTTGTTAATCATTTTGAAATGTACGTAGTACGCTCTTTTTTTGCACAATATAAATGAGGATATATAATGTTGGTTTTGAGTACATTTTAGTTAGAGAGAATTTACTGAGATATCTTATCCCCGTTTCTTTTTTATGTTTTTTTTTGCTGACGCAGATTTCGTAGACTGGAAAAGGATTGATTTTCATGATAAAATGCGCTCAAGTATGGTGTCTTCATGTATATTTTTCTGCCGATGTTTGATGGGTATTTCCCCTATGTAATCTTAGTGGAGGAAACTCTGTTAATTTTGTTTTAATTGATAACAAAGATAAATTTAGTCAAACTTATTTCGCTCGAACCAAGAGGGACCGAGAGATCGGTATTTATAGAACCAACCGCTGTTGATGAGTTTTTATCATATTGTCGTACTTTTTGGAAACAGGTTTGAAGAAATTATCCTGGTTTTATACATGTACTTGTTTATTATGGTATAAAATATGATACAAATTACTTAGCCCTTATAAGCGATGTACAACTATATATTATCTGCTTAGGAAATATGGTTGAGAACATTTACGTGCTAGTTTGGGACATTATTGTTTTGTGGTTTAGGCCATGATACTGTTGCTGATTCAATCTTTACTGTAAATGATAGCCTATCACCTGTTTATCCTTTGCAGACACTCAAGACCAACATTTTATCCACATTTTTGTGCAAAGGATGAGCGTATTATATTTCATAAGTATTGACAACCTGACTGTATAATAAAAAGCGCTAATTAAGACGTGCCGTAATTTAGTACAAGAAACACATTGGCAGTAACAAAAGTTATCATAAGAACTCTAGGACATATTTTTGAGTTATCACAAGAACACCGGTACGTTTGAAAAATCGGGCATAAATTTGTTAGCCGGAGCTTTATGTTTGCAATTTTGCATTATAATTTGGTAATTATGTATTGCAAGGATGAAGATTTGAAATAAACAGGTCAATATATATTTACTCAAAACTACCAGATTTTAAGCATAATATTTATTTATTTATTTTAGTCTCATCTGTGTACAATTACATATATTTCAACATAAAAGATAAACATTACATTGTACATAAAATATATACACATATATATATGCAAATACAGTACACATTAGAATTAAATGCATATTAAAACACCACATAATATCAACTGTAAAATCTGCCAATAGTGACAGCTTTAATAAAAGCTCATTATTAAAAGGTAACAGCTTTAATAAAAGCTCACTATTAAAAGGTAAAAATTAAGTTTTCAAAAAAAAAAAAAAAAAAAGTGTGCATCTTTATAATATTATTTGTCTGGAGGTTATCTTTGATTATGGAGTGGTCTAATTGGCAGAATTTACCTTGTTAATACAGAATGCAACTCAATATACATTAAAACATGGTACAAAATGTAGGTCATATTTAAACTGATATAAACATGATAAAATACAGTCCAATTTTGTTAAGAGATAAAATATGTCATAACAATAGATAAATACAGAATCCCTAAAGAAAGCCCAAGCCCAACACGGCAAAATTGAAAATGTTGCAGGCTCGGTTTGATTGAGCCTGTTCATGGACGTTACTGGAAAGTGCAAGTTACCGTCCACGCCCCCTAGCACCGGCTTAAGCAGAATTCAACATTTAAACGTGAAATAGTAAAATTTTGAATTTAGAAACATCCGCAGATGTTTTCATACGGCGGTTATCATGGAACCTTCAATGTGACACTTCCGTGCCATTCCATGAAAAGCGGCGTATGGTCCCCAAGTAATAAAAAGCGTGTGCCCTAAACGAGAAAACAATGGACGGAACTTGATAAAATGGAATTTTGAAAGGGGGCCAGAAGCCTGCGTATCACAGATAAGACGTCAAAAGACAAATTTAAAAAGCAGGCAACATATCCTAAGGGTGATTCAACATTATTCAAGTAGGAATATTGGAACCACCCAACTAGAAAATGCCGAAAAGTTGAAACTAAAAATACCACAAGCACAACAATAATGTCGTGTTGAACGATCTTCAAGGATCGAAAATATAACATCGTTGATTAAATGTACGGGGAGACTTTTTACAGCCGCCACACGGCACAAATAACACGGATGTGATCATAAAATAGATAAATACAGAATCCCTAAAGAAAGCCCAACACGGCAAAATTGAAAATGTTGCAGGCTCGGTTTGATTGAGCCTGTTCATGGACGGTACTGGAAAGTGCAAGTTACTGTCCACGCCCCCTAGCACCGGCTTAAGCAGAATTCAACATTTAAACGTGAAATAGTAAAATTTTGAATTTAGAAACATCCGCAGATGTGTTCAGTCGGTTGTGAAGACAATTATTACAATAGTTTTATATACAAACATCCGACTTTCACTGAATGGTAAGAATAAAAAATATATAAGAGTTTATTAAAATATCATTTAAAATTTGACTGAAGGCATATCAATAATTTTAAGCTTAAATTTTATAATTCTAAGTCTGTATTGTGTTATCATTGCTATTATACAGAGTGTTATTTCGAAGTTTCAATATATTGCAGCAGGTTTTTGCTAATGTACGTGTCATTTCTGGGTGGGTAAACAAAGATAGAAACTTATCAATCAATCGCAACTACTCGGCCCTTTCCGTCAGTCTTCGGATAAGGACCTCGAACACAATGGATTTAACTCAATACAGGATTGGAGCAGTACCTCTAGACGCTTGCAGAAATCATGATCACAAAATAGACAAATATCGTTTTTTTCGCCGATTTTTACATTTTTCCTTCATTATCGTACTTAATTCGATGTGAAAAGATGAATAAGACCTGTTAAAGTTCATTCCGTTGGGTAAAAAGACAAGATTTTAGCATTTTATCATTCAAGCGCATTGCCCGGTATATACCGGAATACGGTATTTAGTGTGGTGCTCCAATCCTTTTTGGCTTGCAGCCACGGCTGCAACTTGCAAGTCATCTGTTTTGGAAAAGTTGTTCCGGTAAGGTGGTTTCCTGCTTACATTTGTTAGTGCATGATTGAACGGGAAACCAGCTGCAATCGTGCCAATCGCAACTTTTCGACCCTTTCCGTCACTCTTCGGATTAATGATAATAGCCGATGTAGTTCCGATTGCAATCGTGACAATTCGGGCGATTCCGTCATACTGCGGAATCAGACGAAGTAATATTACGGAAATCTTAGCTATTTTAGTTACTTCGGTTATTTTAATAGGATTCCTATTTTTACTTGATTTATCGGTTTAAACCGTAATAAATTATAAACGAAATTGTTCCGTTTCAATTCTTTTTCAAGACGCAAAAGTTAGTTTCTTTTATAATTGTTTTTTGTTTGTATTAGTGTTATACAATAGAGAATAGTTACTGTAGTAGTATTCCGTCTCCAAAGGGTGGTCCTGCTTACCAAATCACACAAAATATTAGTGCATGATCGAGTTATATTTAGATCTACTGAACGCGGTGAGGTTATCTAAAAATAGCCCATGCATATCATTAACCTTACCACGTGCTGATCTACAGATAGCTCATTAGTCGCCGGTAGAAACCGGCGACTATATTTGTAACAGTTTAATATTATATCTATGGTAGGAGAAGGCCTTAAAATCTGAATATAAAAGCAAATCAATTACTGAACAATTAAGGACCATAATTATGTACGTTTCATAATCTTAAAAATTCAAAAATAAAGTAACGTTGCTAAATGAAATGAAATATACAAATATTGACATCTTAAAAAGCAACATTACAATTTTCATAAAATCAATTAATAACGTATCCCTATGGACCAGTCGTTGAATTTAGGGATACTTTTACTTTTTTTCTAAGTGTCAAGCGTTGCTATTTTATGATTGATAAATCATGAATGATATTTGAAATGACACATTTAAATTATTTGGTTGTTTATATCTTATGAGACCTATTATATTTCATTATTTTATCTAATTATAAACATATTCTCCCTGTTCTATTAATTGTAAGAATCACGTGACTACACGTTGTATGTTAGTGTTATAGAATCTATTAATAGTAACAGATTGCTGATAAGATATACAATTAAGTAACTTGTGATTAGTTGGAAAACGGTATGGCGTCTGATTATAAATAATTACAAAGTTTCAGTTTCATATTTCATATCATTAGAAAGGTCTGTATACAATGTACTCATAATTTGCACATCAAAGAATTTAATAAGTTTTCAAAACCTTTTCATTTTTTCTTGGTAAAAGGTTAAACTTGGCCCTTTCTGTCAACGTTCAATAGTTTAGTTTAGGTTGAACATCACAAAATAGATTTATGCGAAAGAGGCACATTTATTGAAATAAATAGTGGTAATTTAATCGTCGTCTTCGTTATATTCCGTCGATTTCCGTCGCGCAAGTTACCAAAACGGTATGACGGATGAATTAGATACATTATAAAGAAAACTAATAAAATATCTTTTTGTTAATATTTTATCGAACTGAAAGGCAATTAAACGTTTACTATATCGTATGTAACGACAGGAATATTGATTTCAACTAAATAATTTATTTTTCGATAGCGCAAAAAAAAAATATGCAGATACCACTTTTACGGTAGAATTGCATTGTTTCATGCAATAATTAAAACATATATATTTTCAAATATTCGATGACCGTTGATTATTTGGCGGTAATTATCGGATTCTGAACTATACAAAACGGATTTCGATGCCTGGTATTACGGTATATGTATAAGATAGAATTACAAGTAGAATTACAAGAATATCACTCGCCTTACAAAATTAATCAAAATTATGAAATAAAAAAAAATGCTAGAAATGAAACACAATTTATCAACTTATGTTTCATATAGTTAACAGATATAATAAAAAAAGATAGTTTTATGAAAACTGCAAAAGGGATTTTCAAAGATTCGAACTTGGCCTACTAGGTCACAACTTCGTCCTACTTACCGCCTGTAGGCCATCGAGCAATATTAATTGATTTAATATCGAGATCTATACTATCAATCAAATCTTTAGCATAAATCATAATAAGTTACGTAAACTAACGAAACACCTCCCGAAAATTAATGAGTCTCAGGTCAATATTGCCAGACAATACTTGCTTATTTAATAATCATAGCAGTTCCTTGACAATATTGCTAAGCAAGTTTGCTTTATATATGATGTTTTATTGTGAATAAACAATTACTCAACATATTGTTTCTCTTTTCTTTATACTTGAACCATTAATTAAACTGATATTTTCTTATATTTATGATAATACAGTCATTTTCTATCCGGCGACTTGATGCTTTAGCATCAAAATCTCTACTTGTCGTATCTGTGATCGTGTAACATAGTTGATACATGCTTATTAATTGGTACCACGTAACGAAGTGTTTTATTGCATTTACTTGTCTATAAAGCTGCTATATAAATGAAATTAGCAACTGCCAAAACGAATGATTTCTCTGGAAATGTGCACACTTGATTCCCGTCAGTATGAAAGATAGATCTCCACGTTAGTATTTTAACGATTGATTATTTTCTTTATTAGTTTTATACAATAGAGAATAGATTTCAAATCGTTTTGACAAAAAATATTCGTTTTTACAAAATAAAAACTAAATAAACCCTTTATGATATACAAATACCGTAATTCAAAAAAATTGTGACAATAAATTGAAACAAAAAAAAAAAACAATTTTAAAAGGTTGGGATGAAGGCACTACTGAGCAAGCCTTTCCTTTTAAAAGGAAACTTTATTTTAGCCTCACTCGAACACAATAGTATGAATACACAGAACGGATGCGGTATTTCGGTCTAACCTACGCTAAGAAACTAATCATGTAAACAAATAGTAATTTAATGCTGGAAGTTGTTGACAAGTTTATTTCAAATATTTGTTGTAAAAGTCCACCTAAAATAAGTGAATTCATAGCAATACATTATTTCTATATTTATTAAAATTATGGTTGTTGAAACCGAAAGTACAAAAAACCAACCTGGGATTTGTTTAAAATTGTACATCAGTGGGCATATTGTAACTATGGTTATTTTAATAAGTAAATACAACCAAGTATTTCTGGGTTCTTCTTTTATTTTCTTTAAATTGTAAATGTGTCACTGTTCACTTAAGTTCAAATACATTACAGTCTATCATAAAAGTACACAGTATACAGCATTACAGCAGTCGAATAAAGTGGTATAGTCAGTGACCTGCAAATACACAATAAAATCAAATGACAAATAATACAATACTGTCTAAAGCCTGAAAACTATCATGTACATAATATTACAACAACAATGTTACATATACATAATCAAGAAGTAGTAATATACATACAATATTATGTATATCAAAATACTCTGGTGTGCCAAGTGGTCCATTAATCATCCATCACTTAATATAATCAACATTATCCATATATCTCAATATTCTATGCTGAACATAAAATACTCAATTTATACAAAAAAGGTAATTACATCATAAATACAATACACAAATACATTGTTTATAAACTTACCAAGTTATGGACCTGCTCACACAAACAACACTCTCCCGTGAACTGTGCATACCCTTCAACTGTTAAACTGCAATCAAAATAAGAATCACGTGCACAGGTTTCAGGAATGTGACATTGTTAAGATGTTATATTATTATTAATAATTGTTAGAGTAAATACTGCCATTTTGAAGTACATGTATAATCGCTTTATGTCAATAAATAAAATGAGTCACAGACGCTTACAGAAAGCATTTACTTAAATGCTAACAACTCCACATGAAGAATAAAGTATACTGCATATATGAATACATTAAACAAATAAAATACATACCAAATTTAGTAACCCACAAATAGTTAAATCATTTCCATTCCAAAATAAATCAACATGTCTTCCACAAGTATCAAACACCGCGCTCTACTTGAGTGAGTAGTTTTATCAACCAATCAGAATGGAGATAAAACCAAGGTTGAAGATAACTAAATAAATAATGAATAGGGCTTAGACCACTAAATAAGACCCTGCCACACACTCCCCCTCTCTGGTAAATGACGTCTCGTCATTTGTCAAATGTCAAAGTCCTTACATACATAAATACAACTATTTATGCCACTACAACTATTAATACATAGTAAGTATGGTAACATACATCTACACTACAAGGTCATTTATATAATCATTTCAACATTGCCAGTCTATTTACTTACTTTAAAAAAAATCATCAATTAATCTTTACATTTTCTCCCCCTCAAAAAAATTGTGACCTCATAATGAAATAAAAAAAATAGATTACTCCTTTTGAAAAACAATAGCTTAAAAAATGTGTAGTCAATTATTGAATATTAAATCAGTAACAAACTACTCCAGCTCAAAAATCTTAAATCTTCATGAAAGACCTTAATCTTTGAAAAAATTTAATGTAACTTAAGGAAAACATTAATTTCCACAAATCTCAGTCATACAAAAATCAAAAATAAAATTATGTATAAAAATATCATTAAAATCAATTATCTCAAAAATAATAAAATGTTTGATTTCAAGTCAAGTAATCTTCAATACCATAAGTCAAGAAGCAAAATCATGAAGTTCTTGAAAAGTAAATCATTATGATTAAACGCAATCATATTTACAGGAACTATTCCATTATTGAATTGATAAGTTTATGGACTGTGTCTGTATCAAGGCTGGTAAATATCCCTGATTTCATGAGACTTTCCAGTGATTCTAACTTCTTGTCTCTTGGTCTTGTGTCCATGTTCATACTGAACATATGAAAATCCTTGTATTTCTCTGGTCTTTTCCCTCTGTTAGATCTTTTAGGTTTTGGCTCATATAGTTGTTCTGGTCTTTGGTCAACTGATCTTCTCACTTTTGGAATAACTACTTTATCTTGGGATTCTTCTTTGTTTACTGGAGCGACATTTTCTTCTTCAGGACTAGTTTGTTTGTCTTCTTGATTTTCTTCTTCAGGACTATTTGATATTTGTACGTCTTCTTGAGCTTCTTCAGTACTATTTGATGTTTGTATGTTTTCTCGAGCTTCTTCTTCAGTAATATTTAATGTATGTTCGTCATCTTCAATTTCTTCTTCTGAACTATCACCATCAATACTTTGAATCTCTTCTACATTATCATCATCATGATCTTCTATTTCTGCGTCTGTCTGCTCAGCGACAGTTTCGTCAACCTCTAGTATCTCAACATGATTGATAGTACTTGGTTCCTTTTCTTCTTCCTTCTCTGCAGCTGCATTATGAACCTTACTCTCTCCGCCTTTCTTGAATTTCATCAATAAGTGGGCGTACCCACCATGAAATGTAGTATTTTACATTCTCATCTGAGTCTTCATCATCTGAACTCATCTCGTCTTTCTCTTTTTCTCTCCAATCTGGTAACAATGATTTGGTTGAGTCATTGTCGTGTGTTGTTTTTCTAGGTTTTGGTGTAGGTCTCCAGTTTGTTTCATTCAGTTCATCATTGCTGTTAATCAAAAGAAGGTGGTTTCTATGAAGAACTTTCTCAATTCCATCAGTTGACCTGAGTTTGAAAACTGGTATGTCTGGTCTTATCTGTTGTATCACTTTATAGGGTTGTTGTTCATACTTGTCAGCTATCTTGTGTTTGCCATTGAACTTGAATATTCTTACTAAAACAGTGTCTCCTTCTGTAATTTTTGATGCCTTTGCCTTCTTGTCATATTGTGTCTTCTGTTTACCTCTTGAAGTATCAGCATGTTTTAAGGCAATTTCCTGAGTTTCTTTCATCTGTTTCTTCAGGTTTTCCAAATAGTCTATGGGTGTCTTGTTTGATGTCTCAGCTTCATCCATTACTGTTTCAAATGCTGAATCTATAGGAAGTTTAGGAGTCCTACCAAACATTAACTCGAAAGGTGATATTTTGGTACTCTCATGTCTTGTACAGTTGTAAGCATATGTTAATGATGGGGTGTAATCTTTCCAATTAGGTTTCTGTTCTGGTTCCAAAGTTCCTAACATGCTTAATAAGGTTTTATTCCATCGCTCAGTGCATTCGTTACCCATAGCGTGATAAGGAGTCGTTCTTGTCTTCTTAATTCCCATTATCTGACAAAGTTCTTTTATCAATTCTGTTTCAAAGTTAGCTCCTTGGTCTGTGTGTAGTTTAGTTGGTATTCCATAGTGTACTATAAAGTTGTTAAATAGAGCTTCTGCTGTTGTTTTGGCTGTTTGATTTCTTGTAGGAATTGCCAGTGCATATTTTGTGAAGTTGTCTGTTATGACTAAAATATTCCCATATCCTTTTGATGACTCTAATGTAAGGTTATCCATTGAAACCAGTTCTAAAGGGTAAGTTGAGACAATGCTGACAAGTTCTGATCTGGTGTTTACATTTGACTTCCTTCTTTGACATCTTTCGCAATTTGATACCCAGTTTTCAACATCTTTTGACATGCGTGGCCAAAAATATCTCTCTCTTAATAAGGATAAAGTTCTGTCTCTTCCAGGGTGTCCTATATGGTTGTGTAGTCCTGTTAACACCTCATTCCTGTATTGTCTAGGTAGTACTAGGTGATATGAGAGTTCTTTATCTGTCTTCCATTCTCTATAAAGTATGCCTCTTTTCATCTTAAAAGAACTGAATTGTTTTCTCATGTAGAAATCTTCTTTAGTAAGGCATTGGCTTTTATCTGGCAAGTTGTTATCGATAGTAGCTCTTCTCCATCTCTCTATTAAAGGATCTGCTCTTTGTTGTTTTCTAATTTCTCTATATTCAATCTGTGTTAAAGGTTTTCCAATGTCTTCTGTCACTTCTACAATATTGATGTTAAAAGCAGGTAAAATCTCTATCAAAGGAGTGGTAGTTGTTAAGTTGCATATGGCTTTCACTGCTGAGTTGTCCATTATAAAAGTATCTTCATCTGTGTTGTCTATTCCAGGAAGTCTGCTCATAACGTCTGCATCAATATTTTTATAACCAGCTCTATACTTGATATCAAAGTTAAATTCACCCAATGCTGATGCCCATCTATGTCCTGTTGCGTCTAATTTTGCTGATGTGAGTATGTAGGTCAAGGGGTTGCTGTCGGTAAGAATCGTAAACTGTTGTATTGCAAGATAGGCTTTAAATTTCTTGGTTACGGCCCACTTCAACGCCAAAAATTCTAACTTGAAGGCTGAATAATTCTTCTCTGATCTGGTCAATGACCTGCTGGCATATGATATAACTCTACCATCTTGATAAAGAATAGCTCCAAGACCAACCCTGATCTGATCAGTATAGCAGACGCAACTGTTTAAGGATTTCTGACATCAAGGAAGAAAATGGTGAATCTATGACCGACATCATTAAAAATCTATCAGCCGAAATACAAGCAAATATCGATGTTCATGATATTGATAACATGCATCGCCTAGGACGACCAAATTCAAATACGTCTTCTGGTAAACATCCACATCGGCCTAACAATCAAACCCGTCCGAGAGACATAATAATTAAATTTACATCTTATCGAGCCAGGCAGTCTCTTCTTTCTCGCCGATCTGCACTCAAAAACTCAAAACTATTTGAACGTGTCTTTATAAACGAAGAGCTTTCGAAGAAACGCAGTGAAGTTTTTTTCCATGCGAGGCGCCTTGTCAAAACCAACAAAATAAAATCAGTGTGGACATCCAACGGAGTTATTCTAGCGAAAGATCACTCTGATATTGTGCACCGATGTATACGATTGATGGATTTATCAACATTTGAAGTGTAGTCGAACTTTTGTTGAGCAGTATACCTTTAACACGCGCACTCTTAGTACCTATAGTATCACGTGACATTTTGTAAACCGGAGTGATCAAAACAAACACTGTTTATCTTGTTTAAAACCTGTCACAAAATGTATCTTTATCATGACTAATATTATTGATTTACCTAAAAGGGGAAACTCGGTCATCTACTTGTTCATATTTTTGTCGGTGAATGTCGGTGAATGATACACAATTCTTCATTGTTTTTTTTTCGCTTTGTTTATCTTGTTTTCTTTGAATTAAAGAACTTTAAAATTACTTAAAAATAAGGCAACGGGTGATCTTGTTCTTCCGGTCCTCGTCCTGCATGGAAAATTTTGATACTGGTTTCTTTTTTTAAACTTTATTTTTCGTAATTTGAAATAAAAATATTCTACTTTCTTAAGTACCATGCGTTAGAAATTGTAAAATTTCATTATTATTTCTATACATACAAAGTACTTGTCTGAGAACCAAAATGTTTATTAGTTTGATCATAATAGCAATATTTGTTTTTATCTCTATCTATTCAGATAAAATAACTATGAATATTGTCCCTACATGTATATTACAATGGCAATATTCTTGCAAAAAAGCTGTTTACTTGTTATGTGCATTTCAAATTGACGATGTAACCATAAGAATTTTTTTCGTTACACAATGGATTATTTAAATGTATATTAATTAATCAATTCATTATTTGCATCGGACTGCAGTAAATTATGTAACTACTTGTATATCAGTTGCACTTACATAACTTATGGACTGCAGTTTTTTTATGTAACTATTAGTGTTTTAGTTATACATTGAACTTGTTTTCTTTTTCATCTTTGTTTTTTTTTTACATGGGACTGCAGTACACTATGTAACTACATGTATAAGTATCTTAATTATACATTGAACCTATTTTTCCTCTTTTTTAATGGGACTGCAGTACAGTATGTAACTATAAGATTTTTTTTCGTTACACAATGGATTATTTAAATGTAAAAGTATGTAACTACTTGTATATCAGTTGCACTTACATATGGGACTGTAGTACATTATGTTACTATCTATATATTAGTCTGCATTACATTATGTTAATATGACCATATTAGTTACACATTGTGTTATTTACATAGGTCTGCAGTACACTATGTAACAGGACCATGACTTTATTCTTTACTTACATTCAAAATAGAAGACTTATTATGTTACTATTTAATATAATGTCCTGTCAACATCGCATCATAAATATTATGCCTTTGAATACATTCGTTTCAAGTGATGCAGTAACGTATTACACATTGAGGTTACATTTTTTTTTTACACAAGCAATTAAAATTTACGGCTTGAAATATTTCTATTAAGAATGTACCGGCTGTGGTATACTTCATATTGCATTATGGTAAGCATATTTGTTACTCAGTGTACACTTTAATTATCTCAAGGTCGTATTTTACATCTGTAGAAACTTCTAATGTTTGATATTATTTTGTTGTACATTTTTTTTTGCATGATGGAGATAA